CCTCCTCCAGTGACACCTGGAGGTGACAGGCCCTTAAGAAATGAAGGTGACGATGATTTATCTGCCGGTCTCACGAGTCTCAGGGCTGCCATTCCCGTTCCTGGAGACCGCGGCTCCAAAGTGGCCAGTTTGCCAGTGATCCTGGAGGGAGGCTCCGATGATGAGCTGCTGGGGGACTGCCAGGAGGGCCGTGGGCTCACTGCAGGTGATGAAGATGTTTCAAGGCCTGGAGAGCAGCCCCGAGGTCTGGCACCTTTGCATGGAGAGCTCTCTGAGAGCTCGGCTGCAGCCCCCATGACCCTGGCTGCTCCGGGAGGAGGAGGAGGAGGAGGTGTTCCTGGTGCTTGTAAGCCTGGCAGATCACCTGTGCTGCCTGCTGGAATGGGTGCTCCCAGGGTCAGTATCCAGGGAGCTGACTCAGGCTTAGGTGTGACGTCTCATTCTGGGGAGTGCAACAGTCATTTTGAGAAACAGGAGCTGGAAACCAGTGCGGGTGTTGAGGAGCCTGCAGAGCGTGACCTCTCTGAGCCTTCTGCTTCCTCTTCCTCCCTCTCAAGTCCTTGCCACCCCTCCTCTTCCTCTCACTCCCTTCTGTCTGACACCCCAAGTCGTAGAGCAGAGTCTCCGAAAAAGCCAACAGCCGAGGGCTTCGCAGATAAAGCGGGAAATTCGGGCAAGAAGAAGCTTCTCCAGGCACGGGTTTCACCCTCTGAAACGTTCCCTAACCAAACCCTGTGGGGTGGTGAAACCGTGTCTCCCAAGCACAGGTGAGACCACGTGGGGGTCACAGCAGGTATCTCTGTGTAGGTGTGAGCTGGGCTTTTGCTTCCAGACCTGTCCCTCCAGCTGCTGGATCTGCTGCTGCTCTTTGCAGTGACTTGGCATCAGGCAGCCCTGACTTCCTCTGGGGCCTGGATTTGTCAGGGCCTGGGTGCTGTGGGGTCGTTGCTGGCTCCAGAAGGATCTGTGCAGCTCCTGAGGGTGCCCAGAGGGGACCAGCCACTCATCAGAGCTCTCAGGGAAACCATTAGGGAAAGTACAGCGGGTGAATAGGGTCATTTCATCCAATTGGGGAAATGGGCTGCAATTGGGCCCTTTTTCAGACGTGGGAGAATGGTCACCCTGATAAACCACAATGCTTCATTTCCTGGCTGAATGGGGCTCCTCAGAGTGATCACAGCAAGTGGTGCAGCTCCTGCTGTGCCCCTGACCTGTCAGCTGTGGGGGCTTCACCTGCCTGGGGTCCAGGACACCTCTGGGCCAGCACTGCCTGAGATAGAAGTAAAATTTGCTTCCTGTGTTAAAACTGGTGATACAAATCTTGCTCAGGCACATAACGACAGCACTTCTTGGCAGCTTGTGGTGCCAGCTCAGGTTGGAAAAGGCCTAACACGCTTGTCCCAGGATAGTGGAAGTATTTGATTATGTTGCAAGAACCACAAATATGTTCTGGTGAGGAAGGTCAGGCTGAAATACCAGTGCCTGAGATCAGAGAAGCTGCCCTGTGTTCTGCCTCCTCGTGTAGCCCATCCTGGCTTTTCTTCCATGACACACTCGGGATGTATTTCCCTTCCTGCTGCTCCTGCTTTATCTCCAATGCCTTAAGTCAGTAAAGATCATAGAGAACTGGAGAATACCTACAAAATCCCTATAGCTTAGAAATGCCTTGTCTGCTGAAGCTGAACCTCTTCTCTCAGGAGACAGAGAAGGGTAGGAATCTTCCCCCATTTCCTGCTGTATTTGTTTTGAGTCAGGAGATCTGTGTCATGCTGGTGTTACATGTCCTGCCTAAACAACAGAAACCCTTCTTTCCTGTTGCAGACTCCATCCTGTGAAGCCAATGAATGCCATGGCAAACAAGTCTCAGAGTAAGAACCTGAATGTCATCAGCACCATGAACGAAAAACTGCTGGAAATGAGTGTGAAGGTATGGAGGGAAGTGGCACTTTCACTGCTTAAGCTTTGGTTTGATTGAGGAGTTTGTGTATTCCAGATAATTGGCCTGGGCTCACATCTCATATCCTGGGCAGAAAAAGAACCCTGGTTATTAGAGCGTGTTGGGTGTGAACTTGCCTTTGGTCAGCCCCCAGAGGTGGGGACAGTCTTTAAATATTTATTCTCTTGCAGACTGATCTAGAGTAGAGTTGATCTGAACAGCTGGGAGCATTCCTGGGTCAGCAGGGAAAACCCTGGGCCCTGTTATTGTCTCTGAGGGTATTTTGGGTAACGTGAGAAGTTAGAACTGAAATAACAGCAGTGCCTCCTTCTGGTGTGAGGGTGTGAATGAAGCGATTCAAACTGACACACTGCTGTTCTGAGCGAGTTGAAAACTTGTTGTGGTGCTCTTGATTCCTCGTAAATTGTGTGTGAGGCACCATGGGAGCCCGTTGTGCTCACATTCCCTGCCTGGGCAGTGTTCTGGGAGCTGGAGGAGTTGGCAGGAGCTGCCCAGTACCTGCCAAGTTGCTTGAGCAGTAAAAACAGATTTTTCAGAGAAATAGGAGGAATCACCGAAGGCCTGGAGGGGTGTTTCTTGCTGTTTAAGCTGAATTTGCCTTTCCCAGTCTCTGGTTTGTTTAAGCAATGGCTGTCCCAGTG